ACGCTTATCCTCTGAAACCTTGCTTCACCATGATTTAATTACCTTCGAGGCAAACATCCGCCGCCGTCTCTATCCATCCCCGCGATAGGGCAATAGCTCTGTCGAGATTCACGATCCCGGCGCGATAGGGCGCGCGCCAAGATACGATCGATGCGATCGATAAAGAGGAGAGGAGGGGGGCGGACAATCGGACGGAGAGCGGACGTCGATCTTTGCCGCGCGACGCTCGAAAGCGGGCAAGGCGTGGAGGAGGGAGGGAAGAGTTATTCAGTAATTAGCGGGGGATAGCATGGTCGTGCTTTCAGACGACACGCATCGAGGTGGACGAGAAAGCGGCGGATGTAAGCGAGCAAGCTTCTTCTTACTGCGAGTAACACGCGAGGAGGAGTCTCTCTTAACCGTCCCCCCGGTGGTAAGCTGGCTGGTGGTGATGCATGTTTACAGGCCTCCTCCTCCTCCTCCTTGACCGGAATTGAAATGCTTCCGTGGAACTAATAGTCCTCTGTTCGTTTCCTCGAACCGGCGCGCTGAGTTAGGGGCGATCGTTCGTATATTTCTCGTGTAGAAGCGTCGCGAGAGGATTTCTTGCGCGATTGGACGAGGAGGGGGAGGGATTCCAGATCGAATCGGTGATAATGCGGGCATCGTGTCGAGGAATCCGTCGTTCGAGGAGGACGTGACGAGAGAAACGCCGCCCGATTTTTACCCGCTTTCGCCTTCCTTTCCGCCGCTGCATGCCGATCGCGAGGGAATTCTAATTGCGAGATGAAAGGAGGGTCGGAGAGAGATGGCGAGATCACGCGAGTCGTTGCTCGGACGGGATGGTTTGTCCGTTGAAAAGTTGTGGAAATGGCGCGACGAGTCCACGATTTTTGCGTAAGTCTGATTTTTGAAACGACAAAAAAAAGGAGGTATAATAAAATATTCGTTGCTAGTTAATAATATCGTTTGTGCTTACCTTCAGATTCTCGCGTTTTAGATTCTAGAAAAAATTCTTCAAACGTCGTGGACTCGTAAAAGGAACGCTGGGAAAGGAACGCCGTTTCGTAAGGTTCCCTCCTCCTCGCGATTTTCTCATAGATACATAGAAAAGATCTGTCTACCAACCCTTATTGCGCTCGTTACACTCGTAGAGGCTCGAGATGCATTAAAAGCGCATGCGGCCGGCAAAAAAGTGGGAACAATGTTCTCCAAGATCCTCTTTGATGCGAATTTTAACCGTTCGTGTCGTGTACCCGACTCGAAAGAAACCCTCGCGAGGATATCATCTTCCATGACGAGCGTTTTTCTGCATAGGCCGAGTCGCGGTAATCGCCACGATCACGCGACACGCACCGCAAATACTCTTACTCCACTCCGAGTCAATTTCGGTGCATTCCGCTCCAAGTATCGGCACAATGGAGGGATGAAGCCGCGGTACACCTGTAGCTCTGTCGACGAAACGAGAAAGAGTCCCGATCGATGGCAATCCGAGCTGGCTGGCCTAGCCTCTGCACACACGTTCTTCCATTCACCACCACTCGTGAATTCGTCCGTGTTTACGTACACGGAGGCGCGCGCGCACGTGTATGCACGAAGATGAACGGGGCAACAGGTGGGTTCGCGCTGAATCCGCTTTCACCCATTTCAACCCCCTCCCCTTCCCGAGTCCCGTCCGAGGAAATTTCGTACGTGTTTCCCGCGTAAACTTCTCCAAGGCCAAGGCTTTTCTTCCCGCTCTGCTTGCCAATCGAGAGAGAAGAAGATTGAAACATGACGATGAGAATGTTTTCCAACCTCGCGCTGCTTTCGAATCTTTTTTCTCGAATCTTCGATTGCGTGGAAAGTAGAATCCGTTGAACTATTTGAGAAATGGAATTATTGGCAAGAGCTAACTTTACAATCGGGATTGAAACGTAAACTAATAATACTTCGATACGAGGATATATTGCTCGTTGCGGAACACGATTATTAACGATTCCCTTTCACCAAAATGAAGTTGTAACGCAGGATGAACAACAATCGGCACCCATTACGAAATCGTTACGTACAGACTTGTATGAATCCGCCAACAACTTATCGAATAATCATCATTACGTTCGAATCGAGACCGGAGTTGCATCTCGCTCAAGAACTCGATCGTTCTTTCGCAAGCTCTCTCATTGAATTCTCATCGTTCTCGAACGACTCGAGGAGAGATGTTGCTTAATTACGATCGGCGAACGCGAAAGGGTTGGAAAATCGGGGAACACAAGCGAGGATACGAGCAAATGGAGCGGTTCGCGGAGAGCGACCGCTCGATTCCTAGACTCGAGGCGGATCTCACGCTTTTTCACGCGCGAAAATTACGAGTCGGTCGACGTTTCACCGACGCCCTCCTTCCTTCGTTCGTTCTTCCCTTCAACAACGCCCCCCCCCCCCCCTCGTTCGCTCGCGTATGATCTTCATTACGCGAAATTAGCGCTGTGCAAATATGGCCACACCTACGCGTTCGGCTCGTGTCGGCCTCTCTCACGCGTTCCTCGCTCTCTGCTTTTTCGCATCTGCGAAGAAATTAACACCTGAGGCGAGGCCATTCGTCGACCATTCTTTTTGTATCTTTTTATTCTTCTATTTTTCTATTTTTTTTTTTCTCTTTCTCTTTCTCTCTTTTCTTTTTTCCTCTCTACCTTGTTCTCGAGACGAGGGTTCGTGGAAGCGTTCGTATCGTAACGATCGAGGATCCGCGAGAGGAGGAAATCGTCGAGAGGAGATACTTGAATTTATGACCCGTACGTGTTGCTGCGCTCGCGCGAGTTGAATTGAAATGGTATTCGATTGGTTTCCGTGAGTTTATTGCTTCGCGATATGTGCGCGATGCGAGCCGATGATCGAAATTTTATTAATGGGGGGTGGAAAAAACGAGAAAGATCCGAGACGAGAGCAATCATTTTTTTTTTTTAAATCCACCGCTCCATTCCACTCGAGCAAATAAATATTCGTCGAGATTAATCCCGATGTAGAGAACGTTCTCACGCGAACAATCCTGAAAACTAAACCACTTTGATCATTGCACAAGCTTGGACGATATTAACGGAGCGCTAAATAACTCCGGTTAACTGGACTCCGAAGCAGCCGGTTCGCTACGGCCACGGTCGCGGCAAGCGTGGGAAGAAGTTATGCAAAATCGTTGGAGACGCTGTTATTATATACCGATATCGACGCTGTGTTTAAATTCTCGAGAAAACAGAAGCAGAGAAAAGAACGGGAACGGAAAGAGATGGATCGATTCGCGTTATCCTGGAATTATAGAAAATTCGAGAATATACCGAAGAGAAGAGAGAAAAGAGAAAAAGTAAACAAAAATAAAAAAGGAAAAACGCAATAATTGAATCCGTAACAAAATTCGACTACATTTTGTGCTCGTAATCGTTTCAAACCTTGGAGCCAAGCTATTACCTTCTGCAAGAAGACCTACCTGCCCATCACATATACCCCGCGTGTATCCACCGGCTGTCACTTGTAAAAATATTTTTACCGAGGTGAAACGTCCGTTCCTCTTCTTCTTGTCGCTCCTCGTCCATAGCCGCGGGCTACTTTGTCGTCGTGCTCGATCCCGAGGAATAATCACGCGACACCGTTGTCCTCGATAAATCGCTCGGCGCAAAACAGGTCTTGAAATAGGATCGCTCGGGAAATTGCTAACGAACCGGCCCGGGTCGAAGTTCGTGGACGCTTAAACGAGCCCCGCCACGGCTCGAATTAACGTCCAACCATCGCCAACGTTGCGAGTCCCAACGTGGAACGACCTCGTGCGGCAGCCGGCGTGCCTCGGCCATGATTTTCACGTCGGACGAGCGCTCGAAATTACATGTCAATATGATGTGAACGGTCGTACGAAGAAGCGAGAAATATTTTATTGCTCGTCAGATTGCCAACAAAGAAATTGGATCGTTCTTTTGCTCAATTTCAACTTCGTTTCTTTTTTTATTTTTTTCGACCGTGTTCAATATTCATTTCAAATATTTCTTGAGGAATAATCGTTCATAATCGAAGGGAAATTTTCGAAGAATCGATGAATTGAAAGAAAGTTTCTTCGTGAAACTTTTCTAGTTAACTATCAAATTAATCTTTAAATTAATCGTTAAATAGTTTCTTTGATAAATTCAATTTTCATCCTTTGCTTACATCGAATTTCACTTAAAATTAATTCAATTTAATTTTCTATTTCCAAAAGATGGATATTTTCCGATTAAGAAACAGAGATTACCAGATGGAACGATTTGAACGTTTGAATATTTGACCGAAAGAAGAGATTGCAGATTCTAGATGGAAATTCTTTGAAAACACGATCGCGCCGACTTGATCGACGTGGTTGTATATCGGATATTCCGAGGGAAATCCGGCAATTAATTTTCCCAAGCGACACCTCTAAGTCTTCGCGGAAGCCCTTTGTACTCCGCCTCTAATTGCTTTCGTTTTATAGGAAAGCTCGGCCGTGCACCGACAATAATTAAACAGCCTCACGAGCATCGTAACTCGAGCGGACAATTCGCGGATTCGGGAATAATAGCTGTTAATTAATTTCCATCCATCGGCGAATTTCCACGGTGTGCATACTTACAACCCTTGGCGAAATTTTATGGTATCTTCGAGACGAATTTCGAAATATTTACATCGATTATCGAATCGTTTCTTCGTAAAATCGAGGAGGATAAATCTATTTGAACGAGAAAGCGAGGATTTACAATAGGATCGATCGATCGGAAATTAAGATAAATTTGACTCGATAACAAGTTTATATGAATAATTAAGAGGGAGAAATGTAAATGTATTATTATCTCTTTTTCGTATCGATTTATGCAAATACAATTGTGAAACGATATAAACGGATATGAAAAAACGAATATTAAATTATATTCATGTATTGAACAATTGAATCGATGCTTGAATAAATATTTCTACGAAAGTTACGATAAATCGATATAAAAAAAAAGAAGAAGAAGAAGAAATGACACGATTGATTCTTTTTTTCTCTTCAATAACCACAAACTACTTTCGTCTCGAACGAGACAAAGAGTTGAATTACAAAGCATTTCCCCCATTCATTCCACCTCCAGCATCGACAATTACCGTTTTCGGAATCTGAAACCGAGAAACCGTATACTTATCCAACGAGTCCGAGTGTTAAAACCGTCCGCTGGAAACCTGTCCTCTAGAAAGTAACGATACTCGTGCGTAAAACAGCGATCATCACCATCATCACGGTTATCGGGCCGATCATGAGAGGGGAAAAGTATTTCGGCGTATTATCGTCCGTTCGTTGAAACAATTTGAAACGCCTAATCACGATCGCTCTCCTTCTCGTCCGGCACGAATCGGTCAAACCTCTAATTCAATAAAAATTTAATAGCGGTGGATGATGAGTGGGGCGAGAGCGGGTACACGCTCGATCAGACGAGCCACGATGGAAGAAAGAGGGAAAGAAAGCGAAGCTCTTTCTGATCCTCGTAGCCGGCGGCCAGCATCATCGTGGTAAGGATCAGAGAGCCCTTATCAGATTTACCGACCCCTTTTTCGGCTAAGCGGGACGATAGGATAGGAGGCGGGGGAGGGAGGAAAGGAGGAAAAAGGACAAAGAGGAGAAGAAGGGAAAGAATGGAGAAAGACAAGAGAGTTGGTCCAGAGCGCCAGAGGCGCAACGCCATCGCCGTCGCCGCCGTCGACGGCTCCTTGAATATTTTAGGAATCGTGGGGGAGTCCGACCGCGTTCACAATGGCCACGGATGCACTCGAGTCCACCCTCCTGCGTCCAGGGATCCACGAGTCCAAGATTATTAACAAGGCATCGTTACGACTAGCTCTACGCTGGGACACAGTGGCGTGGCTCGATTTGTCCGGGGCTGCTGAAGGAAAAAAAAAAAGGAAAAGAAAAAGAAAAAAACCGCTGCTCCCTATTGAAAAAGTTCGACGTTGCGTTTAAGGACGTGGTGATATCTCTCGTGATCTCTCCCTCATTTCCAAGGAACGTATCAACCCACGGAACCGAGAGAGGATTTCACGGAATTATCCCCGGATAGACCCCTAAGGCGACGCTTGTCGTTGCGGCTTCCGATCTTCCTCCTTCCGATCTCCCCCTCGTTTCGACTCGAAAAACCCTAGAAAAATCTCCCTTTGTCCTTTCCTCGTGCCTCGTGGAAAATCGGTCGGCCTATTTTTCAAGAATCTCTTTCTCTCTCTCTCTCTCTCTCTCTTTCTCTTTTACTTTCTCTTTCCACTCGAAGACGAAATATACAGGGAAGGGTCTCCCCCTTCGCATCCCCCCTTCGCGATTTGGGTTATTATGCTCTCGTCATCGGGCCGTCGAACGGGCCTCGTGGAGGAGGGTGGAGTCGAATAGAGTTCCGTGACTAGGCGGATTACGTACATCGACGTGGAAAGGCGAAATTAATCAGAAGAACACACCACTCCTCTTGCTTTCTTCTTTTGTCGGGAGCGAAACGGATCGAAAGCTTGGAAACCTCTTTTGTTTTCGATTAGGAGCGCCGTTTCCTTTCCAAGAGTCGCCTGGGAACGCGGGGAGACGACGGGATGTTTCATCCCCTTTGAGCCGTTCCGTTCGGTTATCGCCGATTGTATCGAGGAACGATCGGGTCAATGGGAAGGCATGTCCCTGTATGAACTTCCTCCTTTTCGATGATTGAAACGCGTTTGATTCTTGGCGGACAAACGCGACCTCGATGCTTTTTTCGGAGGAATGGAAAAGGAAAAGGCGGTTAATGGAAGGAACGTTTGATTAGTTGAGAGAGAAGAGAAAAACGTGGATCGAGAAAGGGAAGGAAATTGTATCGCGTTTAGAGAATTAGAGTGAAGAAGATTCGTGAGCGATTTTGTTGGTTTTTCTCGATTTAATATATCGTTTGGTGGCTAAATATAAGGAAGGACTTTTATCCCATTTGCTAATAACTTTTCTTCTATCGAAACTTTTTACGCGACTCTGAGGATTCGCGTTGATTTTCGATTTAATCAAAATGTTTTCACCTCGAAATTTTTGGCAACAAATATCTTCGAAATATTCGTACTAAATTTTAGATCCTGTTTCTTAAAACACTAGACGCATTCCATTCCATTCGATGATAAAACGACAATAACGAGAAGATATCCTGCACTTAACCCTTGTCTTACCAAAGACACGATGCGGTAGGAGAACATATATTTCGCGAATTTTCTCACGTGAGATAGCCGATCCAGGATCGCGCTCGAAAACGCATCGAACTCGAATGGAGAAGGTTCGTATTGGCCGGTAATCTCGCATTGTCTCGGCGATGTCAGTCGGAGAGTGACAAATGCGTCCTCGAAGGCAGGGTCTAAGGATATACCTGGCTATCCTGGTTACCTGGCGTTCCCCCGTGTGTGCACGTGGACACGAGTGTGTACGTGTTCAACAACAGAGGAGAGAAGCAGAGAGAAGCTGTGACACGGCGTATCCTCGTAGAACCCAGATTAGGCTCTAAAACCCTTCCTTAGATAACGGAACCGCTAAGCTATCCATTCGTCTATTGGTCCATCCTTCCTCTCCTGTAATGGAACTTGGGAAACCTTAGCTTGCTGCCCTCTCGAGGTTGGGCGAAGGAGGAGAGTGCGAGATAGCCGGCTCCAAGACTCTCTCCAAGGCAGATTTCGGTCGTACGATACCTTTTTCGTATCCACGTTCGGGAAGATAATAAAAAGGGGCCGATAAGGGAAATGAAATACTCGGAATTCCTGGAAACTCGGATGGATCGCATTTGGGATTAGCTTTCAGGCTGAATTTAACACCGATTCTTTAATTTCCTCCTCTCGATTGTTTAAATTTTGAAAAGAAAAGACCATCGAGCGCGAAAATTAGTTTTATGCGCGTGAATGAGAGGAGAGTGTCGTTCGTCGCGATAGTAAAGATATTTCGTCCGGTCAACATCGATTGACTATAAAGTCTCGATAAACTGATTTCGATTTCTAAACAACATACCAAGTACACTCCTTGCTTGGGCTCATTTTAAATTTAGCGCGACGTTTAATCTGTTTACTTAGAGCATTTTCGAACGGAAAACAAGGAGTGAATACGTATAAGGCCATGAATCATCCGTCCGTTCCGAAGAGATAAATTCTTCCCCAACAAAGCGACTTTATTACCGTATGCAACGTAACGTCACGCCATTTTCGTGAAAAATATCCACGCCACGGTTTGCTTACCTTTCTCATCAAATATCCATTTCCAGCGTGACGATACGTCTTAAAATACTCCGAGACACGAACGAGCCGCGATAAGTACATAAAGTGTTAGCAGAAAATTGAAATTCTTTCGTCCCCGTGTAACGTTTATGGAACGGAAGGGTTCGCCTCGTTCTCCTTCCTTTTCCGTGTGCGGCCGAACGAACAGATAAGCGTCGTGGACACGACGAGTTGACATTTTGACGAGTGTTGAGAAATGTTTGACTTATCATCACGATGACAACCGTATTTAACCTGCCATAAAATAGCACTCGGCCTTGCTTTTACGACGAAAACCACCACGCGCGGTTCCTCGAACGGTCACGGACGGATACGAATGCGGATAAGTTGCTCTTGGAGTTTACAGAACATTTCACTTTTTCCCCCCGTAGAGAGAACGAGAGTTAACAGCTACCTAATCCTACTATCTACTATCCAATCGAACGAATTTTCCCTCCAACGAATTCCTCCCTCCCCCTCCCCTCCAGAACCTCTCTTTTCTCCTTTCACGTGGACGCGGTGGGAAAAGAAAAAATATTCGAACGAGATAACGCGAGATACATTTATTAGACGGCGAAGGGAGGCGAAAAAAACGGGTATTTTTTTTTCAATACCACCCTTTCGAGAAATGCGTGGAGAGGGTGGAGTGGAGGCGAGAAATAAAATTCTCCTCGAGAGAAGGAACGAGAGAAAATCGCGTTACTCTTGGTAAATCGGGTTTAATTCCTTCGAAAACGATTTAGCAACCGGTGGTGGGCGAGCAATCCCTCCTCCCCCTCCAGAACACGGATCCCTCTAGGTTTCCCAAGTTTTCCCTCGGTTCTCTCCTCACCACTGTTAATCACGGGATCAAACTTTTACGAGGGTGAAATCTGGTGTACAACAAACCCGTGACCGAAGGTCAGGGAAAGATAGCGGGAACGCGGGCAACAATGGTAAAGTCTGTCGAGGGGTGCATCTCATTAGCGGGGAGCGCGAGGCGGAGTGGCTCGAAATGATTGCCCGAAGCAATGCTGCAAGAACATGTCATACATTATTAACGCAAAAGCGCGCTCGGTGTGCTCGGCCCACTGTCTAATAGCCAATATATATTCATCGGGTTAATTGATTTCTCACGCGCGGTGGCCGTCATCCTTTCGAAGGTCGCGGTTCTGCCACTTGCGTCGCGGATCCAATCAACTTTTACTTTCCGTTTCGATGCATGCGAGATTCGTCTTGGAACGAGTGCAGGGCGAGCCGATGGTGGAGGATCGAATGAATGTTATTTTCAGGGTAGTGAGAAGGTATCACCGAGATTTGTGACAGGGTTTATGGAGTGGTTGAACTTGGCCGTAAACATTTCTTTTTTTTTTTACGAATGAAAAGATACTCGAAAGATGAATCGTTCGAGACGAAAATTAAAATTATTTAAATCGGACTTCTTTCGCGAGACTTCTGTCGCTTTATATAGTATTTTATAATTGATATTCTCGGAATTTTATTTATTTTTTTATTCGAGGCAAACGGGATAAAGTGGAATAACGTTATCGTTGTTTTATTAGAAAATCTTGAATACGTCGTTGAATATTTTTTAACCAGAATCGAATTGGCTGGTTTAAAATATATTGTTAAAAAGATAAAAAAATTATTCGAGTCTAAAATTAAAAAGTTGAATTCCGTTCGCTTGAAATTGATCTACGGATCTCGAGTTTGAAAGGCTTTAAGAGCTTTTTTTATTTGCCTGTTCCTAAGAAAACAAAAGAACTCCGAGAAACGAGGTAGAAGACTTTCGTCGAATACATTTCCTTCTTGAGATTGATTTTCAAAGTAAACATTTAGAAAGGGTGAGCACAAAGAAATCTCTTTTTTTTTCCTTTTCTTTTCTTTTCTTTTTTTTTTTTTCGAATTATCTAGTATTTTCTCCCTCCTCATTAACAAAAACGGCGCCAATCAATTATGGAATCGTTTATATTACCATTTCATTATCGTTAGATAATGGCAGGACGAAATTTAATCTGATCAGTTATAACGAGAAATTGGAATTCAACGAATATTCGATGATTAAATGGATGTCAAGCACGCGCCACAAAAGCTAGAAATTCCACGTCCCTCTGAGAATATTAAAATGACAAATGTTATGACAAGTGTCACTCTCCTCTTTGAACAACCTGTCACCGATAGGCGAACGTTGAAAAAACTTATACGAATTTCCACGCTTCCAAGATATCCATCGACACGAGCCTCGTTCGACAACAAGGAAAAGTTCTGCGCCTAAATGACACGAATATTCGAGCTTGTTCCACGATCGATGCGTCGCGAGAAACGATTGATATTCCATCTATCAATAATATAATCTCTAAAGTGTGCAGAACATTTCTTCCTACGTTTCAATTCGTATGATCGAACGATCATATCAACGTATATCAACAATCATAAAGATCCTATCCAAGATCGCAAACGTCAACAATCAATGAGATATTAGACCTTGAGATGAGACCTTAGCCGCGAATGATATTAATTTTCCAATCGAAACGAACGAGAATCGAATACACATACATTCTCTCTTCGGAATTCTCTTGATGAAATATCGATGAAATTTCACTTACAAACACGTAACGTTTCCCCGAGATGAAAGACAAAATGAAGAAAAATCGCTCGACTATTTTGGCGTTATTAACAATTTCCAGTGTCCGCCATCGTCGAGCGTTTTAATACCCTCATGAAGTTAAAGGGGGAGTCCGGTTAGCAGAGCGGTATATATCTTTCGTTGAACTGCAAAGGCTCGCGATAAAACCAGTGTCCAAGTATCCCCATTCACTCTATGACCCATAAACCTGGTGAGCTTCTGCAACGGTTATCTTCAGGGTAGAGCTGAACTCGTCGTGCTCGCCTAGGATAAAAACTGTCGTAACGGTGTCTCATTAACGTGGACAGATTCCACTTTGAGCGAGCTGACTCAAAGGGTGAAAAATAAATCGAGTCGGAAGAGAGGAGAGGATGGGAAAACGAAAAAGGGGATAATGGAAGAAGGAAGTCTTACTTATGGAACGGTGTCTTGGAGCGGCCATAATCCACGATACACCGCTCTTCCTGCTTCCTTCGTCCCTTGCCACCTTTCCGGTTTCTTCTTCGAGACTGATTCTTTCCCGAGCCAGCTTCGAGCCCTTCTTCTTACTTTACATAGAGACAGCACCCCTACCGTGAACGCATTCAGCGACAGACTTGCAACCCCCATGGATACGCGCGTCTCGCCCCTCGAGCGCGGAGAGGAGAGGAACGGAGAGAAGACCGAGAGTGAAGAGTTGGAAGGAACAGAGAGTCACAGGGGGGGGGGAGAGAAAAAGAGGAGGGGGAGGAGGAGCAGGGGATTATAAAAGGAGAAAGATTTACAACCCTCGTATGAAATTCATACGCACTTCGCACCTACCACTGTCTACGCTCCGAAGGCTTCAAAGAGCCTCTTCCTACTCGTTCCTCTCTCTCTCTCTCTCTTCTATCTACGCGTCTCTCGTTCCTCGTCCTATCGACACAACCCTTCCTCTCTTTCTCTCTCTGCTCAGAGCGCTGCTCTCTGACAACCGGAAAGGACGAGGGGCCGATAGTGCGAACAAGAGATATCCTGCACCGTCGTAATCGAACTTCTCGTTCTCCCACTCGACGTCCTTTTTAAAAACCACCACCAGCCAGGAGAGGGAAAAGGGGTGTACGATAGGAATACGATCGCACGAGTTGTCATCGTGGAGGACATCGCAGCAGAGGAGGAAATGGCAGGAATGGCTACGAGAAGATGGAAAGTGTAGCACCGCCTAATAACCGTCCCCTTTCCGCGCAAAGGAGATCGCGTAGGATTTAGCCGTAGAACAAAGTGTACCGACCAACCCCTTCGAGCATTCCCCCTTCGTCGCCTTGTTTGGCGATGGATGGACGTGGAGGCGTTATCACTCTCGGCATGAGGTGAAATTATTGCCAACCGTAATAATCCTGGAGAATTACGGGGTGTATTGCGGCCGGTAAAAGGGAGATTTCTGGAAGGGTTGGTGCTTTGGGTGTGGTTTGACTTGCTGTTCGTAAGGCAGGCAAACGTCAAGTTTAAGGCGTTAATTCTGGAACGAAGTTACTCGACCCTTGATATTTACAACTTCGTCGGCACGATTATCGTACGAAAATCTTTCTACTCCTTTCTTTTCTTTTCTTTTCCTTTTGACGAGATAATGGGAATCACAGTCGTTTCAACCCGCCCTCGAGATTTGGGGGAATCTGAAAGGATTATTAAGAAACCTGGTTTGAGGAAGGGGAAGCGCGGAACTATCCAAGACATCTACACGAGACTGATTTTCTTTATCGGCCAATTTCACGGTTTATGCTAATTCCGATGAATTGTAAGGCTCGTTATTTATTCTAATTTATGCTGATCGACCAGGGTTCAGAGATATTGTCTTGTGAATCGTGAGGGGGAGGGGGGAGAATGTGGCACAGGTAGACCTGGTAAGCTCGAAAACGCCAGGTTCCTAATCCTCTTGACGAGCCAAGGGCCCGGATAGTCTCGATGTGATCGAAGGGACGCCAACAAAGCCCCTTCCGAGTCTATAAATCTCGCTGTGAAAACGGACGCGTCATCGACGAACGCTCCCTTTCGACGAGCGTTCGTTAATTTCGAACGTAAATTGATCCCTTCGATGCCAGGAAACGAGTAAATCTACGAGGAAAAAAGATGTTTCGCGAAGCGGAATCCGTTCTTTCCTTTATGAATTTACTCCTTTAACGCCTTTGTACACATCGTTTGCCATTCCAAAAGCCACACGCACAAAGTCGCGCAAAAAAGTCGCGTAAAATTATCGCTTTTAAATAATTTTCCGCGCGTTCGAATCATCTAGACGGCGGTAGCCGCGCTGAAGCGATAGAGAGCGCGACTCCACCCTCAGCGTTTCTACGAATCTCAGGCAAATGCATCAAAAAAACAAAGCGAATCGCGTGCGGGGAAAAAAATAAGTTAGAAACGAAAGGCTGGCAGCGACGAAGACAGTGAGCCGGAATGAAAGAGCCCATTTCTCGCCAGAAACGTTTTGGATTGCGTAAAACCATTATCGTCGACTTCAAATAGTCGCGGATCGCGATAGTTTCCACCACCGGGGATGGGATCCGACGTACGTAGGTAGATTCGCGCTAATGGGTCGGCGAGTGAGCAACCAGTCGCTGCTCCTCTCGGATAACTCGTAAATACAATTCGCGGCTTTTAATGGCGGATGGGACAGAGAGGGCCACGAACGTCTCACGTAACACGCGTTGTAAAAGTGGGGGAGGCCCGTTCCAGGTCGGCGACCCGACGATTAATAACGATTTTTCGTGGCAGCCCCCGCCCGCTTCTGCTCGCGTCCACGACGCGCTGAATGGCCGAGAAAGAATGAAAGTGCGGAAGGAGAACGAGGAAAGGGGAGGGGAGAGAGAGGGGTCCTTTTTTTTCAGGGAAAGACCGCGAAAGAACGGAAGTTGCCAGGGGCGGCGCACCCTCGGTGGGTGGGCCTCCGGTTGAATTAAAATTGATGGATAAGGGCAGACGGGCCTCGCAATTTTCATCGAATTAACCTTCCTGCCGAGCCGTATTACTCGTCGCGCGAGTCTTGTTGCCGCCTGTTCGCGCGCCGATTCGTCTTTGATCGAGTATTCCTCCTCCCCAACCTATTTTTATATAACGAGAGCTAGGTTTTAATAATAGGACGTCGTGAGATGGTCGATCCTTCGGGAGTAAGTAATTAATTTATGGCCTGTACGTTACCTGTGCCCGGGTTCGATCTGCTATTTGTTTTCATATATGGACGGGTAAGTGAGAGTTAATGGATCGAGTTTATTGGAACACGTTCCGAGAATTTCGTTGAAATATTTCGTAGAATTATATAACGATACGTATGAGACGTATGGGCGTGTAATTTTTATTTTTATTTTTATTTAGTTTTTTTTTTTTCTTTTTTAATTGCTTTAGAAGAACGGATTATCGAAATTTAAAGAGGGAAAAGTATTGGAGAGGAGGATTGTAAGCAACGATAAAAGAAGTTGTAATTATTCGTATCCCAACTCTGTAGTTATTTCAAACTGAATTCAGCAAGTTTTGAAAAGGGCCTTTGGGAGATTGGTCTCTTTGCGTAGTCGCTTCGTTTCTTCCAAAGCTTAACGAGAAAAATTTCTGCCTTTTTCGTTTAACGTTTTATAACCCCTGGTGTATTTATAGCGACCTAAATAAAACTATTTTATACCATTTGAGTGTCAATAAGAGAATCCAGAACGAAAAATCTAGAAAACGTGAAAACATTCTGGAATCAAAAAAGTTTCGTTCGTTTCTCGTAACGTAACAAGAGTAACTTTTTCTTTTTTTTTTTCTTCTTTTTTTTCTTCATCTCGAGTGACTTTTATCTCTAACAAGATTTCTTATTAACATATTCAATTTTTCTAATTTACGTCGCTCGCTACTACTCTTTTGGAAACGTCCTTCTCTACCGAGTATCATCTTTTATTCGACTCAGATTCGCGAGACTTCCGTAACAAAGATATTCGACTCGTTCTTTATTTCTTCTTCTAACGAGCTGATATCTTCAGATGAAACACGCGCTAGTTTCATTTCTTAATAGCACTTTTAGCTCTTATCTCCTATGATATAACGAGACGCGAATTTATTAGCGTTAAAAAGTTTCGCGGCTTTGCTGCAGGATTTTATCCCATTATACAATTTTAACGCTAATAAGTTCTCTCGTATCTTTCGTATATATCCAATATAGAGGGGAAATTATCGGGCTCATACTTTTAACACATCTATCTTATCAGATTACTTTCGAACGTAATAATACTCCTTATTTACGATTTCCCGAGTTACCAACTAATTTCTCCAACTTATTGAATCAACCACGTTAAATAATCCCCAATCGCTGGTGACCTAACGAATTACGCCAAATTACGCCAAGTTGCCGTGTCTTACCTGTTCGCACGAGTTTCAGAAACGCGCTGACTCTTCCTCACTCGTCCCGTGCACACTCGTCCCCCGCATAAATAACCCACCCACGAAATTTATGGTAATAAGCTGCCAGCCCCAAGTCCCAGCCCCATAAACAACAATACCTAAAAAATTTCTCGGCTCGAACGTATTTCTAATTACAACGTCCGTTTTTTCTCTGTTCCAGGTACGTATCCCCCGATCGGTCATTTAACGGAGGCCGTCGTACACGCGTAAGTTCGAAATCAAGGGCCCATTCATTCCTATTCCCCGTCGACGCTCAATTAAGTCAGGTAAACAATGAGAAGAAGAGGGGGGGGGGAACCAGCCCGTTTCGACCACCGAACTCTCTCTCTCTCTTCTCTCTCTCTCTCTGGCTTTTACCTTCCTTCTCCTTTTTTTTTTTTTTTCCCTCTTAATTTACGACGCCACCGAAGCGGCCTCGATAATCAGGACCACGTCGTTGGAATAGCAACCCTCCCCCTCTCTCGCGACTTTCTTTTTTTTTTCTTAACCTGCCGGATTAGCAGCGATATCGGCCAATGCATGCACGCTGTCGTCCTGCACGTTCCGCGCCAAGATGGAACCCGCCGGGGTTGGAAGAAGGAGGGAAGGAAGAGACGAAGGGGGAGGGGCGAGAAAGAGAGCAGAGCGGAGGGAGAACGGTTTATGCGTTTCTTTCGTCGCGGGGTTTCGTTTGCAATAATTTATGCGGGGAGACAGCTTGAGAAATGACCGTTGGCTCCTTGTGCAACCTTAATTTGCAACAGTTTACTTCGGCTACGTTTCGAGGGACGGTCGTTAGAGAGAGAGAGAGAGAGAGATATGGATGTTATGGGTGCCGATCGCATAAAGACATTTATCGCGGATCGAGCATCGATGAGGACCGAGGGGGGGGAAAGAAAAGAAAAAGGAAGGACTCCTCTTTGGCCCCGGACTAACTGGTATAATTAGCGATACAGTGTTGTCCGTGGAGGCCGTGTGGGCGAGGGGGCCGACAGAGAGAAGAGCGGCGGCGACTTGTGGCCGCTTATCGCTAACGTTGGAATGCATTGTGGCCGGGTGCTACGTAAAATATGGACGAGGTGAAAAATAATAATAAGAGAAGGAGAAGAAAAACGTGCGTATACACCTTATATACGCGGTTTGCCCTATCTGATCCCGTTCCCCGTTGACTCTTGTTCGTTGCCCGCGTCGTTGTTGTTGCATGTCTTCGCGTTATTAGAAATTGTTAACTGTCGACCGTTCTAATCGCGGGAACGGATTCGAGCTGATAAATGGAACGTTTATGAAGGTGTTTACAAACAGTTAGCGGTATCTTGCGGGAGATATAAAAGCATGAGTAATCTGAATGGGCGCCAGTGTAATGATTGAAACGTAAGAAAGTGTATATGTGTGTGGGTGTGTGTGTGTACGATAGTGTTACGCAGCTTGTTGCAAGATCAATCGCGAGTTAAAACTTTCTGTTATTATATACACGATACACGATTTTACTTAAAAATATTCGATATGCTCTTAACCTTTGTGTTCTCCCCCAATCATATATTTTCCCTCGCGTTTATCTTGCGAATCGATCGATTTGAAACTCTATGAATCTTATATTCATTTCCTAGTGAAGACATCCTCTCACTGGTTACACACCTCGACCTCGAGAGTCGATATTTAACATCCGATTCGAAGGTTATTCCTGGTTATTCGAATATACGAATACAGAAACTCGGTTGGCTCTCGCGACGGATTAAGAAGAAAGAATAAAAGATGATGGATTCGGGATTCCACTTGTTAAAGTGGAAAGAAACGACGCGTCGTTTCGTTCGTGTCAGGGGACGGCGGATAAACGAGGGAACGAAATCGGGCCGACATCTCTGAACGACCTCGGGACGATCGCTGCAATCGTCGAGGATCACGAGAAATGGTTCGCCGTTGCATCGGCCGGTTGTAGAGAGGAGGACTACGATATATCCGTCAGCGTAAAGAGTCGTTGAAACATTAAACTGACCTTTCCGGTTCATTGGGCATATATATCGGCCCGTAGCCCGTGGTATATACCCGTGAGACAATTACGCTGTAACGATCCACGACCACGATCCATCAGAATTCCGTCACGCGTCGTGAGCATAACCGTGATTCGATGAAATTCCCTTTCGGCCTTCCTTCCCTCCCTTCCTATCCCTTTTCGTTAAACGGTGATTTAAAGGGGAGAATCGGAAACAATCGATGGAGAACGACGGAGTCGAGTTTCTTGGAAACTGAACCGAACGCGTGTGCCCGCCATATTTGGATGAAGAAATTCGTTTCGTGGCCACGATAGAGGGACGAGAGGAATTTTGTTCCCTCTGTAATAAGGGAAAGGATGAAAGTTGCGACAAATATTGCGATGATGTAAGTGTATCTGGGCTATCGCGAGTCGAGTGATGCATAGCTTATCGAAAAAAAGGAAAAGAATCGGTTCTTTTAAAAAAAAAAATGCTACTGAACTATATCGTTATACCTGTTAGCTCTAACCATAACGATTTTTCTATCGTTAAATAAAGCACAGCGAAAGAGATAACCCTCTCGAACTCGAGTTCATGCATCTTTCAAGACCATTCCATTCGAGCCCTCCACCGAATTCTGCGGCGAACATCGATATTTGACCGCAAACGAATCCATTTTTCGTTTCGATGGAAAGGAAGGAAAAAGAGATGAAAGAACGAAGGAAAGGATGGGGGCAGGCCGGCGCGTGGGGAGAGGACAGAGCGAAAAGCGTAGTAGCGCGGGATGAAGTCAATTACATTATGCATATGACTGGTGGAAGGCAATACAAGAAGCAATCGGCGAGCGATGGAGGCATGCCACCATGCTAAATTAACTACCTACCTAGTTGTGCGTAATGCAATAACGGATTAGCTGTATCTACTTCAACCCCTCTCTTCCACGCCACCTCATTCTTTTCCTTCTTGTCCCCTTTACATATTCCAACCATTACAAGGACTCGTTCCTCCGTATTCTTCGTTTCCATTCACTCGAACATCTATCCGTATTTCTTTTTAACAATGATTTCTACTCGTCTGGCTGGATGAGTAATTGGGGACTGTGGATGGCGCTCGTGTGAGGGAAACCAGAATTGCTCGTGTTTCGTTTTTCTTGGATGAAAAAAGGATTTATGAAATGAAAAAGAGAGAGAGAGATAGAAGGACATTTCGAAATAGACGGATTTCGAAAATTTCAAGATTGTCTCGCGATTTGATTGTAATATTGGAATAAAATTTCTGTAGTAATGGAGATGTTTTTCGTTCCAAATTCGAAGAGATTTAAAAGTGTGTCTTTACTACTTTGTACAATCGAAACGAATTGATAAAAATTCCAATTCACGAGATATTTCTCCACAATCTTTCAACAATTCTTATAATTACTCCGAATCGACACATCGAAATATCGTTTAAAGAAATCTAACATCTAATTTCAATAAACAATCCAACGCTTTATCGAAAAAGAAAAAAAAAAACGACGGTTCGTTGTTCGCGACGAGCAAAATATCAAGTATGAGCGTCGTGTTCAGGTACATCGTTCGACTAGAGGTGCGAGTGAATGTACTTCAACATGGTTTTATGATGTAATACGGTCCGCTATGGCATCGTGGGTCTGGCTACGAATAAGGCTTTAGTGCCTTCGTAATACCAAGTAAAGCTTTCCAGTTTATTGGCGCGCTTTAGAAGAAGCGGAAGAACGGTGAAAATTGTCCATCTGTGTGCGCCAGACGAGCTGAGAGATAAAAAAGAAAAGAAGAAAAGGAAGGAAAAGGTGGAAAAAAAGAAAAGGGAATCGTCGACACGTGAGAAACAAGTGTTTCACGTTCTCGCGCGATACATCTTGCTCTCCCGCGTTTTCTCGATTTTCTGCCGCAATTGGGAATCGTAAAATACAATACGGCGGAAGCGCGAGCTCGATCGGAGAAAGAGAGTTCGAAACGGGGCGGGTATTCCGGAAAATTGGCTCGCGGCGAACAAGCAGGAATCGTCGATACTCCCCGCTTGCTCTTTGTTTTACGAGCGTCGCGCGAGGAGAAGTAAATTTCTCTGGAAAAGCTTCTCGCCCCGATCGAATCATCCGCGATAAAAATGATCCGAAATGGCACGACTCGGCAACGAGAGCACGTTACATTCGCACGTTTGGACGAATACAGGCTCGTTCTTTTTCATAAATTCTAATAATAATACACAGGCAAGGAGAATCAATCTTGTGCTTATTCATCCTTGCTTTGAATCGAGTCTTATTCCCGTTTCGTCGTATATTGAAATTAAAATTAAAAGATCTCTTCAAGCCTATTATATTAGACCAGTTAATCGATTCTAAATTTTCATTCTTCTAAAACTTACGTATATATTTAACGGTATAAATATATCACCGGATCTCTCGATATCGCTCCTACTAATTAGATTCAAAATATCGTTTTTCTCGAGGAGGGATCGAAAATCGCTCCTCGCTTTTTGTTCGCCTGCCTGGCCAGAAGCAACATAAGATCCGCACGATTCCACGTGGCAACTTTATACCATACTTAACCACGAGGCTTAAAGGTTCAAAATTCGCCCGAGAAATAAGATCGCGGTGTTAATGGCGGACCCTCGGCCGACCTCATTACAAATCCGTTGCCGATGTTCAGCCGTAGCATAATGCGAGCGGGCGGTACGGGCGATATTCCCACTTTATATACGCCCCGGTTACGTAGGTGTACGGCAGAGTACACGAAAGCAGGCTTAACGGAGAGTCAACCCTTTATCTCGACACGAGTGTGGCGTAAGATTGGTTCAACAAAGCGTGAAAAACGCTCGCGCGGCCGATCTCTCTTAACGGCCGGCTCAGCCTTATCGCTTAACGGCGGCTTTTCATTTCGCGAAACTCGCCGGCCACCTTTTGCCTCCACCAAGCTAAGATACGCGATCGAATAATCGGCGTGAGATAAATCGGCGAGGGGAGAGACTGATCGATACGATCGATATTTATTATGCGGAGGAATCGCGTCGTATGGGCGAATCTGATTGGCTTTAACCGTGATCGTTTTTCGAGGTCGCCTTATCGGGATAATTAGATCGATTCGGCGATTTTTCTTGTGTCTCGTGTCTTGAATTAAGAAGAAACGTATGGAAAAGAGTTTTCGAAACGGAGAATCGAAGAATATCGTTTATTCGAGTGCGTTTTGAGAAGGTTATATCGAAGGTTTTCTTATGAAATCGAAACGTTTTTACGAAACTGTAAATCCGTATCTTTAGGTAAGGCATGAGCGTGGATCGTTTTGGTAATCGTTTAATAATCGAATCGAAAGCGATTTTCATATCGTCTTATCGGTATGATTAAACTGGGATTTGAAATCTTTCTACCGCTCTGTGATATCTCGTGAACTGGAATTTAATGGCTAGTAAAGTGTGAGAAGAATTGAGAGAACAGGGGATGGAATGCGACTGATATGGATCGTTGATCGCGTTAAACAAGTTTCACATTGGATGTGCGAGATGGTTTGATTCCATAACAGCAGCAACAGTAATTAATTTCAAAGATGGAATTTTGCAAACTTTATTATTTCGTTGCAATTATACGTGATACGCACGGGTATAATTTCAGAAAATAAGAGGAATTAAATTAATATAAAAGTATGATAATATATGAATTTCATCATTTTTGACGTACACGTGAATAAATTTTGTTATTACATAGTTAAGTATCTTTAAAGATCTCCTCGACACTGGTGAGACGAATATCGTTATGCTGATCGTATCTTTTCTATTTGCGTCAATTTTATGCAAGTATAAGACGAAGGTATGCAGACATTTTAGAGACTTCAATGTTAGATCGTATCAAGAGTCCAAGCAATTTTAAGCAATTATTTTTTTCCTTTTTTTTTTTTTTTCTTGAAAGGATGCAAGAGCGGTATATAAATCGTGTTGCAGCGTACAATTATAAAAGGCAAAATTTATTTGTTTGTTTCGGACGAAAATTTAGAATGCGGAAATTTGACACTACTTGAATTTCACTTTTACGACGTTGAAGAAAAATATAAAAAAATTAATTTTACACGCGTAAGTATATTTCTTCTAAAAATCAAAATACCTCACAGTCTAT